GTAATAATGCAAACTATTTGTCATAAACTAATGAAGACTCTTTAATATTTGCCAATTTAAGGTGTCTGGGTGCCTTATAGGTCCATTGGACTGGACGTAAATACAGTTAATCTGAATTCACATGTATCATATATTGCTTTTACACATGTCACTATAGTAAATGAATTTCTTTTCTTATCTTATCTTATCTTATCTTATATGTGCGTCATATGTTCAATTATATTCGGATATATCCTATTTGATTACCTTATAACATCTAGTATCTTCTAATTATGTGAATGCCATTCCTAATTAAGCTATAGGTAATATGCTATAGGTAAGAAGATTTGGGAAAACGTAAGGTATAAGTTTTAGTCACATTAGGGTGATTATTGATAAGTATGTTTAAATGGGGGATAGTGTTTCAGTTAAGTCACAATTATAGGAGACATTCCCTTCTTTGTCTATGTAGAAAAGTATCTATAGTTGGGTGAAAGTTAACCTTTATTCTGACGAAAGCATTTCCTAATAAAAGATTTAAAAAAATCAGACTGTGGCCTTAGGACGTATCCGTACAGAATTGAAAATAAAACGTACGTCTTGATAGATTTATTTAGATCAAATTGTTCTTCCTATCTTACATTACTAGGCCACGGTTTGGAATTTATATGGTATTAAATTAGCGTTATAACGCCTTTTGTTTTGCGTTATTATGCCTTTTGGTTCGCGTTATTACGCCTTTTGATTCGCGTTATAACGCCTTTATTCGCGTTAGTACGCCTTTTGATTCGCGTTATAACGCCTTTATTCGCGTAATTACGCCTTTTGATTCGCGTTAAAACGCGAATAAAGGCGTTACTACGCCTTTTGATTCGCGTTATAACGCCTTTATTCGCGTTAGTACGCCTTTTGATTCGCGTTATAACGCTTTTATTCGCGTAATTACGCCTTTTGTTTCGCGTTATAACGCGAATAAAGGCGTTACTACGTCTTTTGTTTCGCGTTATAACGCCTTAATTCGCGTTATTACGCCTTTTGATTCGCGTTATAACGCGAATAAAGGCGTTACTACGCTTTTTGATTCGCGTTGCTACGCCTTTTTTCGCGTTATTACGCCTTTTGATTCGCGTTATAACGCCTTTATTCGCGTTATTACGCCTTTTGATTCGCGTTATAACGCCTTTATTCGCGTTAGTACGCCTTTTGATTCGCGTAATTACGCCTTTGGATTTGCGTTATAACGCGAAACAATAGGCGTAATTACGCGAATCAAAAGGCGTACTAACGCGAATAAGTGCATTATAACGCGAATCAAAAGGCGTAATAACGCGAACCAAAAGGCGTAATAACGCAAAACAAAAGGCGTTATAACGCTAATTTAATACCATATAAATTCCAAACAGTGGCCTATTAATGTATGGAAGGAAGAACAATGTTGATTTAAATGAAATGATCTAGATGTACGTTTTATTATATGCCCGAAAGAATTCGGGCATATTATGTTATACCCCCTGGCGTCCGTACGTGCGTCCGTCCGTATGTATGTCTGTATGTCCGTCTGTTCGTAAGCAATTTGGTTTCGGGAGCATAACTTAAGTTCCATTTGGCCCACAATATTCAAACTTCATAGGAGGATTGTTATTTGAAGGAGGTAATACTTTATAACCTATAAGTCACCAAGTCATCTTATATTGGCAAATATTAAAGAGTCTTTATTAGTTTATGACAAATAGTTTGCATAATTACTGTGCAAATGGAATGAAAGTTATTGTAAATGTATATTGTATTATTGTATACGAGTTTATATCTTGAGCAATAAATTCAGATCAATATTGGTCTTCCTTTCTCGCGAATTTGACTAGTATAAATATGGTATTAAATTGGCATTATAATGTGTTTTAATTTGCGTTATTACGCCTTTTGGTTCGCGTTACTACGCCTTTATTCGCGTTACTACGCCTTTTGATTTGCGTTATTACGCCTTTATTCGCGTTATTACGCCTTTTGATTCGCGTTATTACGCCTTTATTCGCGTTATTATGCCTTTTTACTCGCGTTATAACGCCTTTATTCGCGTTACTACGCCTTTTGATTCGCGTTATAACGCAAATAAAGGCGTTACTACGCCTTTTGATTCGCGTTATAACGCCTTTATTCGCGTTATTACGCCTTTTGATTCGCGTTATAACGCTTTTATTCGCGTTGCTACGCCTTTATTCGCGTTATTACGCCTTTTGATTCGCGTTGCTACGCCTTTATTCGCGTTCTTACGCCTTTTGATTCGCGTAATAATGCCTTTATTCGCGTTATAACGCCTTTGCATTTTTATTTTTTATTTCATTTGACACTATTAGGCTTTCGTACTATTATATTTAATGACATGAACAATGTTTTTTTATTTAATTATGTCATCATCAGTATTGAATGAATGTCATGCAACGATAATGGGCATAATATTTTCCTCTATCTCTATAATGACCTTTAATTCAAGATCGATATAATTGAATGTATAGGTTTTTGTTCTTATTTACTTATGAGGAAATAATGTGTTGTTATTCCTGAGAATAAATATCTGAAACACTACATTGTCTGGAGCAACATACACGAATATCACTAAACATAATTTTCCATCTAATACTTTTTAGATGGCACTGTTATTAAAAAACAAAGATATAAAAACAATGCGCCCAACGTGGGGCTCGAACCCACGACCCCAAGATTAAGAGTTTTGAGCTAGCCGGGCTGGCGTTACAAATGAAATCTGAATAAATGAAAAGAAATTGTTTCAATGAATCTTGTTTGAGACGTAGATAGAAAATAAACAAGTAACATCAAGTTAGTTTGTTTTATATGAAAATAACACATTTGCCGAGTTCATGAGAATCTTTATTTTAATAATATACAAGTGCAGCCTTTTTTGTTTAGAAGAAACCCAAATATAAAGAGTTGCTGTCTGTTTTTATTTAAAACCTTGAACTTAAGTAGAAAGATATCCGGAGTTTTTGACATTTAATTTTTGAATATTGTTCTCTATTTGAATTTATCAGATTGAGAATTTATATATTAATAAACTGAGAATTAAGAAAGCAAAGCTAAAAAGGTAACTAACTGATGTTTCTTTTGAATTTATCTTCTACTAATGATACTAATTAGTAAATGACTTTGCATTGTATAAAGCACCTCAAACATTCTGAAAGTACATAATGAAATGACTGCCATACACCAATTCATCAATTATTACTTTTATCATGAATAACGGTCTGGGCGGACATTTTTCCCCAGCATCTCTTTCATGTTAACATGAAATGTATGGAAACCATCACAAGATATGATACGTTGTTTGACAGTATTTGATAGAACAAGCTTTGTATGAAACTATTCTCATATTAAGATATGTGCTTACAAAACGTTTCCAATTTCACACGAGTATTATTTAAATTGGCTAAATAAAATGTTAAAATAACATATACGAAACTATAAGTATCAGCAATTTTGTATGTGTTTTTTTTTGTGATAATTGCAGACAAATATACATGTACCATCCGGTATATACGTGTATTGAGAATGACGCACCTTTTTCAGTATCAGAAATAGTTAAAGGCCCAATATGTCTCAGAAATGCTATCTTTTTTATTTCTCAAAACTGTTTATTGTTGGTATCTTGTACCAGTTTCCTAAAACATAAACATTTGCTATATAAACGAACTATATTTTGCATCGTTTGTTGTGTCGGCAATTGGTATAATTATAGTGGATTAGTATTTTGTATGGAAGTCAAAATACTCTTTACGACACATAGCTGCGTGTTCAGCGCTACTTTTTCCAGTTGTAACACATCTAACATGCTCGTATTCCATTTTTAAACATTATTTAACACATGTTTACATGTGTGATACTTCTAAAGACTAAAAACATATGAGTCGCGTCATGACAAAACCAACATAATGGGTTTGCGACCAGCATGGATCCAGATCAGCCTGCGCATCCGCGCAGTCTGATCAGGATCCATGCTGTTCGCTATCAGTTTCTCTACTTGTTATAGGGTTTGTAAGCGAACAGCATGGATTCTGATCAGACTGCGCGGAAGCGCAGCCTGGTCTGGATCCATGCTGGTCGCAAACCCATTATTTTGGTTTTGTCATGACGCGGCTCATATGAATTTCTGAGGCATAATGTGCCTGACAATGTTTATATCTGGTTGTATGGTCTCATCAATTTCTGGAAAGATAAACTACAGTTTACACAGAATAAATGAATTAAGTTAACTTTGTACTTCAATACTGGTCATAGAATGCATGAACATTACCAATTCAAAAGAGTGGAACAAATTACTCCAGATGATGACATTATGATAAACACAATCTTGCTCCTGAATATATGAGTGAAAACCCTGTCCATTCATATACTTTTAGGTCAAGTGAAAGTGGTTACTAAATTTTAGCCAGGGTCAAAGGTTGTGGTGCAATATATCATCTGAACAAATTACCTCTTCTACTAGTATACTTTAAAATTGTTAGTCAAAATATCATTTTCTTGATATGTAAGAATATCTTTGATGCGTATCCTCTTATGTTTAATTGTAAATTATCATTTATAAAGTCTTTGTAAACCATTGTCTTTTTTCATTCTGGACAGTGGCATTTCATGCATCTATGTCAGAGCCACCAGAACTTAAGGAGTACAATCTGAATAAGTAATTTATTTCTCTCTCTTTTTTTGTTTTATCCTATATTGAGTTAATTGATGCAGTTTCATTTCTCAAACATGTTTAACTTTGTTTTGTATTAGATATGTTTTACCATGTTACTGCATAATACGAGTACTAAAAGAAATTTATCTAATAACGTTTGCTCGTAATTCAAGCATTTGAAGATAAACATGCATATTTCATTTTGAGAAATTGACGAATTACAATTATTGCCTTAGTTGTTGTTGTTGTTGTTGTTGATGTTTTCCGAAAATATTGAAAAGGATGTTTGAAATTCATTTTCAAATTTAATTTACTTGCACAAAAAAAATAGTTTTGGAAAATTGTACAGACCTTCTAAAATAAGATGAATATCTAAACAATATTTAGCATTGAATGTTGTTTTTTACATTATTTTGTTCCCATTGCTGTAACAGTTTTACTGTGTTTGATGTATAAGAACACCACTGAAAGTTGTAAAAGAGGGCCAAAATGACTGCTTGTCATTTATATCCGTTTCAACCCAAACACGTTGACCTTTGTTAACAGGGAGCATAACGACGTTTCCACCACTGTCATTTTCCCCATCTGAACTTCTGTCAGAAATGACACTCATGTAAGGATTCCCATCCAGCACCAGGTACACCAAGGCCTCTGTGTCTGTTTTATGTGTTGCAATAAAAACAGAGAATAGGTAAAGACCAGAGGTAGGACAAGTGAAAACGCCTGTAGATGCATCATAGGAATGTGTTACCCGAAAGATAGGGTGATCAAATACAACGGTAGAATGAAGAGCCACATTGTCCAAAACATGACTCAGTTCTGCTGAAAATACCACTACATCAGGATCGCCTGCTGTACTTCCTTTTTCATATAAAAATAAATTTATCAATCAGTGACTTTGAATAATTAGAATTAAGATATTCGATTATATAAAGGCATATTAAGCCTCAGAAATGAATATGTTTTCTTTATACAGAAAGGGAAAATACATGTATGTGTATTATATATAGTGTAACAATGCATTAAGATAATGTAATATGCTTATCACGAGTAGAAAATAGCGTTGCATGTCAAATAAATTCTGACAAAAGTAATAAAATTGACTTCCTTACAAAATACCCAATCTTTATCTCTGTAATAATTGCCCTAACACAGAAGAAACAAAAGACGACTCAGCTCTATGGTCAATGAATAGCTTTTTTGAAACTGTAACAGGACACAAAAAATAAAAAGGAATTTGAAAATTATTTGTTTTTATTTTAACAAGCGTTTGAAATTCAGCGTTTCATAATTTGATTTTTACACAATGAATTATATTACTGAAGGTTAGACATCAGAAATTTTGTACTTATACAACAATTAAGATGTTGCAAAACTATAACGCGATATTAAAATAATCTTTAAAGCTTTTTCAAATAAAGTAGGTTAACTTACGTGAATATCTTCTGTTTGGTTTCAGAATTCCTAGTCCATGTTTACTGCTCATTTGGTATTTGTCTAAACAATAAATTCACAGTGTTAGAAAGTTGTATTCATTTTCTATTATTGTGTGGACGTTTCCGAGCTTCTTTTTCACTTATTATCAGGTATTTAATTGTTAATAATGTAATGTAATAGATTTAACTGTTTTCTATGTAATTATTCTAAGCCATTTGCCTGATGATTCGTTAAAACAAAGTGTTTAAAGAATGTCACATTAATAAAGGCTTACTTTCAAGAGTGATTTTTTCCAGCTGCCCTTTTAAGATATCCACCTGTTCTTTAAGTGCGATAACCTTACTAGCTTCTTCTTTGAGCTGATCAGTCACCTTTAAATTATCTTGGGATAACTTTTGGGATAACTTCTTTAGCTGAGAGTCGAGCATCAAGAATTTTGAGTTCAGATCAGACTGAAAAAATTGAGAGTCAAAAGGTAAAAATAAAACAACAATGTTAACTATGACAGTGAAAAAATGAACATCTTTGATAAGTTCATCAAGAAAGCGAACAAATTAGCCACCAATGTTCATCCTTCAAGTCTAAATTTAATGAAATTATAAAATTAAGTTAAGTTAAGATATATAGAACTTAAATTATAATCATCTTGAGATCAAGTGTGATATTTTGGAAAACATTACCTCTACATTCTTTCCTTTCATTTTTATTTAAGATATATTTAAGTGTAAACGACATATCCTGGAATGATCTTTGGTTGTGCAAATTCTACGAAATGTGGTTTCCATATTTATGACATACAAGATAGAGGATACGCAATTAAGTTTTCTTGCATATCAAATCGGATTTTAAAGAATCTACATCGGTGCTGTAAAATGTCTTCCTACATTCCCTTATAAGGTAAATCACGTCATACTTGCCCCTTTTTATAAAAAAAATGCATATTAAAGTTGATGTCATTCTGCTATTATAAATAAATAGAGGATATTCAAGTTTTGTCTATAAATACATGATTTATTTTCATCGAGTGGTATGAAAATAAATATTTGATGAGTGGCGATAGCCACGAGTGAAATATGGTAATTTTCATGCCACAAGATGAAAATAAATCATGTATTTATAGAAAAAACTTGAATTTTCTGTTTATTATATACATTTTTGACATTAAAATTTGAAAGACTTTCCCTTAAATTTTGTGTACTGGCAGAATTTAAAAGAAAGTAGTCCGGCAAGACACCAGTGAAAATACGGAAAATATGTTTCACTGCAGTGAAAAATAAATTTTTACAGTGAAAATACGGAAAATGAAAATACGCATTTTATTTCATCAATATTTCTCAATATTTCATTTGTAAGTATATAATAAATTGGAATTAAAATGCTAGTTTAAGAAAAAGTCAAGATTAAATACATTAGTTTTCGTCATTTATATCTTTTTTTCGTTTTTTTTTTTTCAAATATGATTTATAATTAGGTAATTTTACAAAGAATGGAAACAATGAAAAGATGTCGATAAAAGGAAATATCAAGCTCTTTAATACCTGTGATACGAAACCTCGGCAAAAAAAACAAGCAAAAACAGAAGCCCTAAAGAACACTCAAAAGCAAAATAAAAATGTAAATAATGCCCGCTCGAATTGATTGAGATCATAAGCCTAGTTACTGCCGTAAACTGTTACCCTTAAGCAAGATATTCCGGTCTCTACCGGCATCTGTTGTAAGATTTTTATAAAACAAAGGGATGGGTTTGAACGTCCCCGACAATCTATTTTAAATGAATGAATAAATAAATAAATACAAACACAAACCTCTGTTTCATCTGTAAAGGCGTGTGCTAAAACGATTCCTACCAAAGCGATTGTAAACTTAAGTGCAATCATTGTATGACCTTAATCATCAAAAGGGAAGTTGATATTCCATATCAAACTAACGGTCATGGTTCTTTTTATACTAGAAGCACGGAAACAAAGAAATCCTGTTTGCTTGCTTAAGTATTAAAATTATTTATAAGTCAAGAAAATTATACATATAAAAACATTTATAGCAGTTATTTTTGCTGAAAATTGCCGCCCTTTTAAGATATCCACCTGTTCCTTAAGTGCGATAACCTTACTAGTTTCTTCTTTGAGTTGATCAGTCACCTTTAAATTATCTTGTTATAACTTCTTTAGCTGAGAGTCGAGCATTAAGAATTTTGAGTTCAGATCAGACTGAAAAAATTGAGAGTCAAAAGGTAAAAATAAAACAACAATGTTTAACTCTGACAGTGAAAAAATGAACATCTGAGAGAGACTCTTCATAAGCCAAACAGTTACCCTTAAGCAAGATATTCCGATCTCTACCGGCATATGGTGTAAGATTTTTATTAAAATAAAGGGATGGGTTTGAACGTCCCCGACAATCTATTTTAAATAAAAAAAATAAATAAATAATTAAATAAATATTATTATTAAATAAATAGATACAAAGACAAACCTCTGTTTCATCTGCAAAGGCGAGTGCTAAAACGATTCCTACCAAAGCGATTGTAAACTTAAGTGCAACCATTGTATGACCTTAATCATCAAAAGACAAGGTGATATTCCATATCAAACTAACGGTCATGGTTCTTTTTATACTAGAAATCATGTTTGCTTGCTTAAGTATTAAAATTATTTATAAGTCAAGGAAATAATACATATAAAAAACATTTATAGCAGTTATTTTTGCTGAAGAATTCCTTCGCTCCTATATTCTTCAATGTTTTCAGCGTGCAATTTAAGCGCGGCATTGACATTGTTATTCAACTGGATTAAAACGTAAGATAACACGGTTACCTCATGACTTGACAGAAAACAAAAGTCATGTAATACAGCACTATTAAATGTTTTATAATGTTACAAATAGTCAACATCTCATCCATCATAAAAATAAATTTAAAAAATGAATGAATTTTGTATGAGCATTTATCACTGTTTAACAGAGACATTATTTAAGAATTATTTTCTAATTATTGTTATGTTGTATAAAGTTCTTTGTCTTTTTAGAATACTGGTTTTGCAACTGTCCAGTATATCGTATGTTTGCATAATATGGTAAAATATGTACAATTTTCATAATATAAAGAGGACATTTCATACATGAATGTCACATGCTTCGTACGTTTCCATATGTCCTCGTACGTTTCTCACAACATTCTCACAGTTGTAGGTGACGTGAATCAGCTAAAAAAAGTTGTCACGCACTTCATGTAAATGTTATATACTGATTCCTGAACCAATATTTTGATGTTGAAAACTGAATACTCTTTCAGCGGTACTAGAGAGGGTGGGATATAAGTTACTTGCCGTCTTGCTTTTGTCAGGACTTTTGACTAAAGAAAGAATAAATTTTTATCATTTCATTCGGATATATATATATATCGTATAACAACAATTGTAGTTGTTTTTTGTTTTGTTTTTTGTATTTTACTATTATTTGTTGTTGTTGCTGTTTTTGTTTTTATTGGTGTTGTTGATGTTGATGATGATGTTGATGTTTTACTATGAGGTAATATCTCATACATAACTTCTGAACAATTACTATTTATGCAACAACCATGTTTTATCATAAGTGTTCTTTAAACAGAGTCGGCATCATTATTTCTATAAATATAGTACGAAGAAAAGTGGACATACCATGAAGATTTACAGAGCAGACCAAGACAATGTCACTACCGTATAAGCAGCTTTGTGGTATTTAATTCATATAAGTATCAGAATTCATTGCCATTCTGGACGTATGTAATAGAGACAAGTGCACGATTACAGACTATAATTTGCAATAATTTAAAGATGATTTCCGACTTAATCGACAAGTTACGATGCAATATCGCCACAATTGCTTTTATGTTTTTATATTGTACGGTCATTTATGTTCCAATGAATAATTTTATCCAAGTATTTTCATCCTTTGGGACATGTTTTAGCGTATGTCAATGTAAAAGAATAATTATGTAAAAGAATTAGGCTTTGAACAATCCAGTGTTTCGACACTCTATCAGCATTTCAATGCTACTTTGGTAAATGTAGATTATGTATATAGTTATGTTGGAATTACCGCATGACTTTTCTTGTTAACTATCTTATACAGTTCGAATCCAGCTTTATCCGAAAGTATGTCACGCAAGCTCATTGTCAAAGAGACTTTATCGTAATTACTTGGTTCTACATAAAAATACAAGTTTAATTCAATCAATTAGCAATCACTGAATATACATGTGCTGGTAAATATATAAGTGCAAAACTGAGAACAACACTTAGAAATCCTGTTTTACCTATATTATCAATATTCATCGCTCTTCCTAAGATTTGCGGGTGTCTTGGTTAACATTGTTGAAGTTTACGACATGCATTATCTAAAACAATAGTCGGCTGACATTGTATGGATACAGCAATGCCAGTCACATTTTAGGTATGGACAAATGTCTGCAAAGATGTTGTTTTATACGACAAATGAACAACTTTGACTTTTTTATTCTTAAGGGCCCATTAAGCTCCAGAAGAGTAATCATTGTTTTTCATATTTGGTGTTCTGATACAGATTCCGAAACGGTACTCACTGGCCTTAACGAAAAAAAAACACAATATTTTGCTTTTGGAGATTATAAATATTATGTACATGAATAAATATTTTCAATGGAAGACAAAATGCCCCTTTCTTTACGGTTTTATTCTGTTTTATGTTGTGTAATATCATTTCAAATTAAACTAACAGACCTCACCATTTAACCATTATATGTATCACATGATTTCCTTTTCATGACAAATATTCATTTGGCTTAATGTGCCTTTAAGAATACTGAAGTGATATTTTGGATAATATATCAACACTGAACAAATATATCCTACGTTACAGTCGTCTTGCATATCAACATCGGATGATTTTTCTAATTTTATCATTCTTGTCATGAATAAATAAAACACCTGACTACGCGAAAATCTCTGACTTTTTATACTTTTACTTTAATATAGATATATTTTCTTATCAACAGATAATGAAATAGGTCTTGAAAGGACATCAAGTTGATATAGCTAGCAGTTTTAAAATTTATTTCTCACATTGAGGATACATAAACTTCTCTTGCAATTCCTGCCTTTCATGACGAACATAAGTTCTAGACAAGTGCTTAAAGGGAATTATGCCCCCAGGAGTGCTTTTATTTTTATTTCAGAAAAGCTTTTTTTTTATTCCCGGTGTAATTTTTATAATTTTCAGTAACATACTCTTTGGCCAATTACATGACCTTTTTCTTGTGACTTTTTGGCAGTTAGTCTAGATCTTAGTTACAGTAATCAAGTATTTTGTATAAAAGTCGATATACTCTTTTGTTTACATTTTGCTATTTTTATTACAAATAACTTCACATTTACCACTACTTTCTTCAGGTAAAAGGCATCTAGCATGCTCTAAAACCATTACCACAAGAACCGGTTGAACCGGGTGATGCTCCCCGAGAATGTTCTGGACACAGGAAAGTATAAAAAAAATGAACAAAGGGCAAAAACTCCAAAATTAGGCAAAGCGGAGTTATGTTTTTTTTGCACTGCACTTCTATTCAATGAGATATATCTATCTATAAAGTTTCCTGATGATATCAGAGTTATGTCCCGGGTAAAAGTCAAAGTGTAAAAATGAACAAAGGGCAATAACTCCAAAATTAGACCAGGCTTTGTTTAGGTTCTTTAAGCATTGCAGTTCTATCCAATTATATCTAGCTACCTACAAAGTTTCATGTTGATATCTCTAATAGTTTTAAAGTAATGTCCAGGATAAAAGTCAAAAAGTAAAAATAAACAAAGGGCAATTTCTTCAAAATAAGGCAAGGCAGAGTAATGATTCTTAAGCACTGCACTTCCACCCAATGAGACCTATCTATCTACAAAGTTTCATGCTGATATCTCTTATAATTTTAGAGTAATGTCCCAGACAAAGTTCAAAGTGTCAAAATGAACAAAGGGCAATAACTCCAAAAGTAGGCAAGACAGTGTTACAGTTCTTGTGCACTGCAAACTTACTCAATGAGATCTATCTACCTACAAAGTTTCATGTTGATATCTCTTATACATTAAGAGTTATGTCCCGGACAAAGTTCAAAGTGTAAAAAAAAAACAAAGGGGGATAATTCAAAAATTAGGCAAGGCAGAGTTAAGGTTCTTATTCACTGCACACCTACTCAATGAGATCTATCTACCTACAAAGTTTCATGTTGATACCTCTTATACTTTTAGAGTTATGTCCCGGACAAAGTTCAAAGTGTAAAATAAACAAAGGGGGATAATTCAAAAATTAGACAAGACAGAGTTACGGTTCTTGTGCACTGCACACCTACTCAATGAGATCTATCTAACTACAAAGTTTCATGTTGATACCTCTTATACTTTTAGAGTTATGTCCCGGACAAAGTTCAAAGTGTAAAATAAACAAAGGGGGATAATTTACAAATTAGGCAAGGCAGAGTTACGGTTCTTGTGCACTGCACACCTACTCAATGAGATCTATCTACCTACAAAGTTTCATGTTGATACCTTTTATACTTTTAGAGTTATGTCCCGGACAAAGTTCAAAGTGTAAAATAAACAAAGGGGGATAATTCAAAAATTAGGCAAAGCAGAGTTACGGTTCTTGTGCACTGCACACATACTCAATGAGATCTATCTACCTACAAAGTTTCATGTTGATACCTCTTGTTGTTTCAAAGTTATGTCCCGGACAAGAAAAGGGGACGGACGGATGGACGGACGGAAAGACGGACGGACGGACGGACGGACATGGCGGCGACTATATGCTCCCCCGAAATTTTTTCGGGGAGCATAAAAATGTTGTAAAACTCATGTCTGTCCTTTATTAAGAAGTAAAAATTGATTCGTCACTGAGGCATAATGTGCCTTTAATAACAAGAGTAGCTATACACCAACAAATATTTTTCACTTGGTCTAGATTAGATAAGAGTTATAACGACACTATTTAATGTGTGTGTCCTTGAAGAACAGTCATGGTAGTGTTGTTGGGAGGACACAGGTGGTAGGTGATTATTTTCCTTGAAGTGACAAGGCGATTTTGTTGAAAGATTATTTCTGAGGACGAAATGAACTGCATGTGAACTTAGAATATAAGTTATAGATTAATATCATGGCGTTCTTGTTCATTCATGAGAGGTTTTGCTATGCTTTCCTGCAAAGTTTTTGCCGTCCTAAGAACTTACACTGTCATTTTAGTTTATCGGATTATGAAAAAAGAATGAATGCAGCAAATAATAATAATTTAGAAAACAACAACAACAAAAAAACAACAAAAAAAACCTACAAACAAACAACAACACAAAGACCCCCCCCCCGAAAACACTATTAAGATTTCAATTCTCAATGAAGTTAACATATCTACATGTTTATTGACCTTTGTTGTATCGCCAGTCAAGGAAAGGAGTTCTCATGATTAATTCTTGTTTGCCGACATAATCTTGTACTGGAAACAAAAACAAAACTTGATATATGTAGACAATACTGTCGGGTCCAGTGGGCCGGCACAAGGAAATAACTACAAATATGGT